TTCGTATTTATAAATGTATCCCTCAACCTCGGTGACTCCATTTGTTTTTATTTTTTAATTCTATAAATTCTTTGGTTTTCTTTCTCTTAGAAAAAGATTTTCGAGAAGAAATCATTGAATCGAAATTAATAAGTCAATACTCTTTTTTTAATCAAGAATGCTACATTTTAGGTCAAAAATGGTACATTAATTGCGTTCTGTTTAATTTTGTTCTTTTTTAATTAATTTTAATTAATGTATCAATTTTTCTTATACTCCTCAAAATTAAATCGTAATCGTCAAAATTTTTATTACTGTCATGTTCTTTTTTAACTGTCAGATAATCTTTATATGAGCCCACATGATTGCATGTCAATACTTAAAAATCTGTATGACCCTTATGACTGATGTGAACTGACGCGAATCGTATTACCCCATATAATTTCCACCCATGGAGTAGAATATGTGAAAAGTAACTTGATTAATCTTCTCAATTCAGAAAACAAGCTCAAGCAGCGAAAATGGAGGCTGAGAGAGAGGGAATAGTTGTACCACTTACACTTGAAGATTATTGCATAAAGACACGTGCAAGGCCAGCAGAGCAGCCTCTTGATATGACTGATTTCTACGATGATGAGTATGAGCTCGATGACGACGACGACGAGGAGCTCAGTACCAGCGATTACGAGGATGGCGACGATAGTGGTAATGGCGAGTCGTGATCCATTTTATAGTTGAACACGACGAATAAATGGCAGGAATAAAAAAGAAAATGCGAAAAAAAAAGTGGAAATGAGAAAAAGAGTGACAAAGACATAGTAAATTCTGTCGCAAGGCCAATGGAAGGATTTTCTGACGAATGGGAGAATTTGGCGGTTCATTTCGATTCGAGTTCGTTGTATTCGTCACTTAATACTTCTACGTCGTGTGTCATACCGTATTCTGTGTTCTAAGAACCCGAAATTCTTTTCTAACTCAAAGTGAAGTTAGAGTTCATGATTTATCGGACTTAGTTACAGAAATCATTTACAGGTATGACACTAGTTATGCTATTTACTCAGCCCTGTATAGATCGATAAATTAACGAGCTTCTGGATGAGGGAACAATATCGATAAACGAGGAAAATTAAATTTATCCAATTATTATATGAAATT